AAAATTTATTAAGATCGAGATTGAAGTCACCAATTAAATAAGATTTATTGGGAGGTTTTAGTGTAGGTAAGATAATTTCAAGTTTGCGTAGTAGTAGATCAGGGTTGGAATTAGGCGGTCTGTAGATTGCAATTATCTTAAGTTTATGCATATTAACTGCGATGTCGACGGAAAGAAAGTCAATAACTTCATCATCCAGTACGGCTTCGCAGTTAACTGAATAGCTGATTCCCTGTTTGATGAAAATCCCGACACCACCACCTTTTTTGTAAGATCTGTTTTTAAAAACAAAGTTATAATTAGGCATATTAATATATTTAACAGTGTCATTATTTAACCAGGTTTCAGTGGAAAAGTGGATAAGTGGAAAAAAATTTGAAAGGGAATCGTTTAGTATTAACAAATCTGCCACTTTATTGAACAAACTACGACATGAATAATAGACAAATTTTTATCAGTTTTAAAAAAATTGTTAAGTATGAGGTTGTTTAAATTGTTCATGGTGTAATTTTGAAAGTTATTGATAAAAATGTCTGAAAAATTAATACTGTTATTGGATGGGTTGACAGAAACTAAATCAGAAGATGTATCGCTGGAATCAGGCAGGTTAGTACATGGAGAGTTGCTTGTGTTTCTATTCATGATTGGTTATTTGTTGCTTGGCCTTTTTTTCATTATGCAAGAAACGCCATTCTCGTACAATTATATTTTTGGGTATGATGTTTGGTGTTATATATGATGTTATATATATATATATATATATATATATATATATATATATATATATATATATTGATCATATAGAGACACTAATGTATACCTACATTCAAATATGTGCTGCTGAAATTAAAGGCTGACGAGATGAGGTGAGATGAACACTCACACGATGTTACGATGATGCATCACTTTTAAAATTTCACAAGTCCGGTCTGTCAAACACGCAACTCTCGTTCGTTATGACAAAATCTCTCAAAAAGTATTACCGACCTTACAAGCAAGATGGCCATCAAAAGCATCACTGAATCACTCACCAACGATAACGTACTAGCAATTATTAATTTTCTAAATCCAAAAAAGGAACAATATCTTTTAAAATATTCCTCAAGAAAGTATTTGATATTGAAAAAACTTTGTCGAAACAACTGCAATTATATTAAAATGTTTGTTAAATAAACATGAGTCAGCATCACACATTCTTTAAAACTGACTCGAAGCAGAAGAACGAGAAGATGAGGTAAAGAGCAAGCAAGACTGATTTGTGCGCGGGCTCATTTTTCATTTTTTCTTTTTGTTGACTCAGTAATGTTTGAAGTCATTAGTGGCTGACAGCAGGAAGATATAGTGTACTTTCCTATGTTTGTGGTCTTACTACATAGGTACAACCAACCAACATACATGCATGTTCCTCTACGGAAATCTATCACACAAACAGGCAAACATGGTATAACAAATGCATCGCACATCTCTGCCATTCAAACCAAATTCAACATGCCAGCCACAAGTATCATTTTAATTTTTCATGCTGAATATTTTTAAATCGACGTTAATAAAAAAACATTGCAAGGCATCATGTATCAATTTGTCCTTAACATAAGCGCGGCCAAGTTATAAAATTTGCAACAATGATAATTAATTCATAATAGAGCTCTGCGCGGTTGGAATTTTCAAAAACCGCAACCGCACAAAACCGCAACATTTGAAACCGCAACCGCACAAAACCGCAGCGTCGAAAACCGCAACCGCACAAAACCGCACCGCACCGCAAGAAATGAAAAAAAAACTTTAATGCTTTTATTGACATTATAAATCACAACTATCTATATCCAAATCACTGTTACTCTTAATAAATAACATTTTGTCAATTTTGTTTGGATTTAAACTGGACCGTCTCTATTGCAGTGTATAATTGAGAGATGATCCTACCCTACACTCGAAACTGGGATGCTGAACAGAAAATAGGAAACTTCTCTTAGTTGGAAATATTTCTTATGACTGGACCAATAATGAACAGCATCCACGTGAGGAGCCTCTTCGTAAATAAAATAACTACTTTCTTCAAAGTAAACAAAAAAAAAGAAAATGGTTGCTTCAACGGCTTCCAAAGATAATAAGATTTTAATATATAAAATTATTACAATGATAATGCAATTTTTAAAATGTTATGGACGAACAAAAATATTTAACAAAATTTTTGCGGTCACCGCGGTTTTGATAAAAAAAAACCGCGCCGCGGAAAAACCGCATATTTCAAAACCGCAACCGCGTAAAACCGCATGATTTTGCACCGCAACCGCACAAAAACGCGGTTGCGGTGCGGTTTTTACGGTTTAAACCGCGACAACCGCAAACCGCGCAGGGCTCTAATTCATAAGTGATAGGATAGAAAACATTCAATCATATAAACACCCACAGCTTCAGATACAAGTGTAAATTGCGGTAGAATGTAAATAATAATAGAAAATATCCAACAAAGTTACAAACATAACCTTTTTACTCTACCGCTAATTAGTTTTTTTTTTATTGAAAAATCAACCAAATTTCAAAAACATTGATAGGCTAAACTAAATTCTAACTGAAAGAATTCATTTGAATCAATAATATATTTGTGGTCACGAGAAAACCGTATTGATAAATAACAATCCCCACGTATTATTTTGAATGAAATTGTTAACAGAGAACTTCTAGTGTGGATTATACTGTCATTATTTGATTTCATGTTTTTTTTAAATAATTAAAAAAATGTTCCGTAGTTATTGAAATATAAGAATTTATTTGATGTTCTAACATCTTGACTGACACCATGTTGTCGTCGTTTTGTTTGTTATTTAATATATACCTAATGCATTTCACCCATATATTTAATATATCTAAACAATCATAAATTTATTGATTTTAGGCAGATTAAATAATTAAAAATGGTAGAAGAAGCTTTTTGAATGATGTAGTCAGAGTGTGACAAGCTTAAACCTTAAAAAATTTGGCAACCTTTTATAGATGAGCCAACATATTTTAGTCAGTTCTATATTTAAAAAAGTTAATGGTTACGAAAGTTTAATAAATTGTTACAACTGACCATTTGATTGCTTTTTCTTACGTAGGACTAATTTAATTTAATTTGTTGATGAACTTGTTAAAAAATTTGGTAAAATTTTGAATAAACCAAAATGGTTTATTTAATTAGCAGCTTATTTACTGAATCTTTTTTTTTGAAATTAAAAAAATAAAAAATTGTCTGCATAAATTTTTCAAGCGATGAAGATTTCCTTCCAACCTTCAATACCCGTGAGGGTGGGCTGTTCATTGATGGTGAATTGTTCGCTCGCATCTCCGCCTGACTACAGCGATGTTCCAGCGGAGTTTAACTTAGAGATGATTGCCTACGATGCAACCAATAAAACTTATTCGATTCTCTGCTCTTTAAATTTGACCACGGGAAATACTTTGTACAATGAAGTTTGTATATTGAATAATTTTGTTTATTTTTTTGACAATTTATTTTTAAAATCATAAATAAAATTCTTTGAGAACGTCATTTAAAAAATCTTTTTAAAATTTTCGTTTTTAAATGGATCTGTCATACGAACTGATGCTTGAGATTAAGGAACTTTTATTTGATTGTGGGTCATTCGTCGACAACTTAGAATTTGCAATTTTTTGCCTGCCATCATAGACGTTTTCCGACTCTCTGTTCCTCCTTTTGTCCATATTGTTCTTTGATAAAAGACTAACTTGCTTGACGGAGTTCCAAAGATCGATTGCTCCCAGCAAGGACATCAACTTCATTGGGATGAACAATTTCATTTTTGCTTGCTTCGTATAAAATAATCACTAAAAATAAACGTAAGAAGGTTCATTTAAAATTTTAATTACAATAATTTTTTCATTAATTCACGAAAATTTTTCAAGGGCAGTCAGAATGAAATAATACTTTAATATAATTCTTACTGTAACAGAAACATTAGTTTAATAATAGAATCACATTCATTGAAACTTTTTTGCAGATTGATTTTTATTGTATTAATGTTATCATAATTGTTGCTGTTGATATTGTTGTTGTGACGTTATTGTTGTTGCTGCTGTTACTTTATTATTCAAACATTCGTTGTTATAAAATTACGTGGGTAACCTCAACGCTCAGCAGAATAGAGCAGAATATGCAGATGAACTGAGAATAATTATGCAGGTAACTGGTCACAACATCAGCGCAGCCCTGCATTTCAATTAAATTTCCTTTATTCGTCAAAATTATTAACTAACAAAATATTATAACATCTTGATTCTATAGTAAAAATTACTATTAATAACCAATATTCATCCCTATGAGAAAATAGTTTAGAAATAAATATAATTTGCCATCAAAATTTTAAATTTGTTAAAATATGTTTGAGTTTCATCATTTTGATTTTGCTATCACAACTCTGCCGAGTAAGCGATAGTGAGACCATGTGTTGCTGTTGACTTGTGTTGAAGGTGAGTCTTCACACAAAATTAATTGAATAACTCTTAATCAAATGTTACGATGACCACCTTTCGTCTCCACTATATCTCATTTCGGTTTGTGGCTTCTTGTTTTAAAAAGGTTAATGTAATTAAATATAAAAAAAATTATGTCCTTCGTTTGACCTTTTAGTGTAAAAAAATATCGAAATAAATCTCGAATGATTATTTAGTCCCAACCAATCAATGTTAAACTCACGAAGAACAATACAAAATTATATCATCAACAATTTAGATAACTTAGGAAAGAAAACCGTGAAACTATATTTTGACTAAAATCTGTCACTCCGCCCCATGATCAGCAGGTTTGGTAAAAGTTAGCCCTAACAGTTGCTCTGATGATTCAAAAATTGTATGCTCCAAAAAGAACATAGAACCTGCCTCGACGCCATTTAAACGGTGCACTCCAAACCTGTCATACTGCAGCATCATTTGGACTGTACACAACCAGGCCTGTTGACATATTGATGAAACAAGCACTCCCGATATCTAGAAAGGACTAGCCCACACGCAAGCACTCTTCAGTTTGACTATCAATTTAAATTCTACAAAATAAAACTTGTAATGCAATGAAAATCTGTTAATAAACGATTTGTCGGAAAACTTCCTTTGATTTTTTTAAAAAAGTTATTATAAAGCAATAATGAGACAAACACGCCACGTAGATCTACTTAAAGAAATCCAAGACAAATATTTTCATCATCATATCAAGAGACGGCCAAGAGTTTGTAACAAACTACTGAAAAGATGTAAAATCAGTACAGTCAGCCAGTCGAACTTTAACCTCTTCGTTCACAACATCAAATTATTAAATTATATTGTTATATCAGTCTCACTAAATTTCCAAATCGCTCAATTACATTTTGAAAATTTATGTTCTTCATCTATTTAGGATGTGTTTATGTTTATATAATGCGATTTAAAATTTGACAATGGCCATTTTACTAAATATTTAAAATTTTTAACCTTTAATTTAGTAAATTTGAAATAATCACTTGATCGTTTATAAGCCTTTTATTTCCCTTTAAGCACGCTGGCAAGTTGTCATAAAATGAAAATGACACTATGTCATTAACCGGGATTTCGGTGGTCTCATTCTCGCAGCAGGAAGGCGGCACAACAGCTAGGATCTGTTCCGACCGTATTGTAAAATTGTTGGACCAATTAAAACTCTGATAGGAAGTAAAATTTTCCACCCCACAACATCCCAGCTATAAATGATATTTTTATAGAAGCTATAAAGGATCAATCATCTATTAATTGATTAATTTAAAGTAAATTTTAATGAAAACGATATTAAGATGAAAATATTTGAAAGTGAGTACATACGAGGAACTGAGTAGCGTACCAGGTATGAGACAGCTTATGTTCCGGAGGTATAATGGTTCGATTGTCCATAATTACTTCAGGATGATATTCTTTCAAGTTGTTTCTCATGATCTCATAGACGTTCGACTGCAAACAAGTGTGTATTTAAAAAAAATTTAACAACTGAAAGTGGAGAAACTCACGGTGTTAAGTTTGACCGACGCGTATATGATCATAGAGAATTCTAGTATAATGACCAAAAGTAAAGTAACCCAGTACTGAATCAACAGAGCATTAATATGTAACGTTATTAATGTTTAATCCATTTTCAAAGTCATGATTTCATTCACTTACAATCAGCAATAGTATCCGAATGTTTCTTAAACTTCCGAAAATTCCACACAGAGAAAAAAAGATTAAGGAGAGACCCATGACAAGAGTCAGAGAAAAAATGCCATCTGGAGTCCCACCTACGTTTAAAATTCGTGAAACTGTTTCTATAATTTGTTTCGAATTTCCCAGGACACCATCCATAGCTGGCGATTCACCAAAAGCAACAATTGTAAACGTAAGCAACATCAGGCCGCACAACTAAATGAAAAATTTAAAGAAAGAAATTTACAATCTAACTAACATCTGCCTAGCAACTGAAGGCTTGGCAACTAACCAGCACAAAAACATTAACCAAGGTTAAGAGGATCTTGTTACAGAAATCAGCCATATTTTTCCATTTTTTAATCAAACATTTGCCCAGATGTTTTTTTTTCTAGCTACATAACTTATTTTTTAAATTCATTTTCAAGCGAATGTTTTTATAAACAAAAGCAATCAGTCACATTCAACGTCATTGTGCACATTTATAAAATCAATGAAATAATTCATGCTATAAATCTATCAGTTTATACGATTTAATTTAATAATTAATAAATCATTGCCTGTTTTTTTTGCCAAGTTCAAAACCGAAAAATATCAGATGATGAAATTTAAAATCTGAGCTCAAACGGACCATTTAATTAGTTAGTAATAAAATAAGATTGCTCGGTTAATTGATCGAATTATTTTTTCAAACAACTCAGTGAGGTTTCTTCATTTCTTGTAAAGCAAAATTTACAATAATAATTTGAAATACATTTAAAGTTAAATTGATTGATTGGTTGGTTGGTTGATTGGTTGATTGATTGATTGATTGATTGATTGATTGATTGATTGATTGGTTGGTTGGTTGGTTGGTTGGTTGGTTGGTTGGTTGGTTGGTTGGTTGGTTGGTTGATTGATTGATTGATTGATTGATTGATTGATTGATTGATTGATTGATTGATTGATTGATTGATTGATTGATTGATTGATTGATTGATTGATTGATTGATTGATTGATTGATTGATTGATTGATTGATTGATTGATTGATTGATTGATTGATTGATTGATTGATTGATTGATTGATTGATTGATTGATTGATTGATTGATTGATAAAGAATGTTATTTTTTTTAAATTTACTTTAACGACAACAACTTCAACTTTCTCCAACGTCATTTTCCCAACCCAAACAAATTTGATCCGATGACTGCTTCACCACTAGCTAGCAGAAATTATTTTGAAATATGAATCTAATTTTGTAGTTTATGTTTTTGTTACGTATTTGTATTTTTAGTTCGGTGTCTTTTTATTTTGGGAAAGTGAATATATAATTATTACATGAAATTTTTGAAAAAATTCAAGGGTTAATTATTGTATTCATTAAACATTAACTACGCACATAAGTAGCAGAAATTGGCGTGGTGCACATCGGATTTCGACTCGTTAAGCGGACAGGCAAGCCAGATATCTGCCTACTTCAGCACCACCAGCTCAGCTGATTTCACAAACTACAGCTGCTCATTTGGCCATGACACCACTCAGAAGATTCCTCAGCTCTTTGGTTAGTACATGGTGATGGTTATGATGTTTATCATGTTGTATGGCATTAGTGGTGGGATGGACGCTAAAGTAGGTCTATAGGATCCTCCGGTTCAAACGCTGGTCAAAACAATATAACCGTAACTCAGCCAGCCCAGATAACCGAGCTGTCCAGATAAATTTTCAAGTGTCAATTAAAAATCCTCTTCATCAAATATAATACTTTTTATTATATCGTGTAATGCGGATGTGATTATACTAACACATTCGTTTGGTGCAATTAAATATTTAAAGAATAATAGAAAAAATTGTTTAACTAGCATAGGCAAATGAATAGAAAATATGTCTATTGAATACAATTTCTTTTGTGTCGTACGTTCGTTTATTAAAATATAATCACTGCAACCTATGTGGGCGACTTCATTGAATTTTTTGAGATGCGATCTCGAGATAGAATTTCTTTATCCGCGTAATCGGAAATTTTAATAATTCGAATAAAATATTTGGATTATGTGGTTTTGACTGTATGCATGCACGTTGGGTGGCGTGAACATGGACTTTCAGTCTGTCTGTCACAAAAGTTTAACAGCAACTGGTTCGTAGGGAGATCTCCGTTTCTCAAAGCTGCATTTTTAAAGCCTGCCTTTTCAGCTAGAAATGTTGCTGACAATGAGGGGTTTTTCAACTTTGGTCTGATAATAATGATAATCATCAGTGGCGGATCTATGGGGACCGGGAGCTAGTATTTTAGCCCCCTCCCCGGTCAACATGGAAAGTTTTAATCATTTTTTAAATTGATCAATCTGCCCGATGTCATCAGCTATTTTTAGAAAAACCTCTTTTCCCCGCTCAGCGTTAACATTTCGAAAATTTTGCCTCCCCCATCAAAGTTGTCTAGATCCGCCACTAATGATAATTAAAATATTTTTGGAGCTGATGATGGTAACAACAATACCTTTATTAATTAAACATTTTTCAGAAAGTATGAAATTATTTCTTCTGCAGATAAAACATGTAACACCTCCTGCAACAATTTTTATTCATGTTCTGATGAATGCAATGGTATCACGTGTTCGTGTGACGTCAATTGGGAAGGAACTGCTTGCGATAAAAGTTTGATATATTTCATTTATTTCGATCGTTTTTTTATCTACATTTTTTTCTTTTAAAAATTTGAATGAATTGAATTCAAAACATGTATATGATGATATAAGTTAACAATAAATAAACAAAAAGTAATAAAGTTAACAATAAATTGAATATTTATTTTTTGAATTTCTGGGAAGTGAACTATATGGTAACGACCTCTTCTATTAATTGTTTGAAATGACTAATTAAATGCATTCATTGAAACGCTAGAAAAATAATTCAACTGTTTAGAATGTAGGACCTCGCTAGTTGCTTACTCCGATGTCGCAGACTCATCTTTACGTGAAGGCATTCCAGTAAACATCAGCTGCTCGTCTGCCAACCAAACTGGAAACTTCTACTGGTCTAGGGACCACCACTGTTTCAACAGGTAGGTGTAGGTCTACGTTCATGCTCCAGCGTATTTTTATCTAAGTAAATTAAGGTTTTGTAGCACACATACATACATCTGCAAATTGATTTTTGAAAGTTCTTGCAACATATCTGCAAACGGAACCCTCTACTTTGAGAAGTTGAACAAGTCGGACGCTGGTGTGTACTACTGCTTCAATAACAACAACTACTGCACGAGCAGACTAAACTACACGCTGGCTCTTTCCAAGATTGGTAAGTCTTCAAGTCAATTTATTCAAAATATCATTTTATTCACACATATAGTCAGTAAATAATTACTTTGTGTTTTTATAAAATTATCTTTCCAAACTGTAACGTCGACTAGAAACAAGCTGATGAAGATAGTTGAAATTTAAAAAAAAGGATGTTATAAAAAGATATTTTAAGTCTCCAAAAATAGTTTGGTTTATTTTTAAACATTACAAAGCATGCAAAAGATTTTATTAATTATTATTTATTGATGCATTCAGTTTACTTGGATGAGACACATCAGCGTGTACAAATGTCGTTAAGTTAAAAGCGACATGAATCTTAAAAAATAACAAGCATCTCCGTTTAAAAAATGAAAAGACTTATTCCTGTATGCTAATTAATATAAAATCTTTACAGATTTAGTAACAAAAAATCTATCTTATTTTCTAGAAGTTGTACATTATTAGCTGGTGCATGTTTTAGGTGCTTATTATTAGTTGTGTGTTGTAACAGATGCTGGTACATTGGAACCTACAAATGCGTGGAAAGCATGGACTGTTTGTTTGTTTGTTGGCAGGCTGAGAATTTGCACTTCATGTTTAATGACATGAAGGACTGCAGATGCAATTTGCCCAATCATGTTATTGAGCATGCCGTGTTGAACGCTAGCCACTGTTATCAGATCATTCAGTTACTTATATAATTCGTCCAATTTGATAACACAGCGCTCAGAAAAATTTCGGCTTACTACAAATTTCCATCATTTCATAACGTGCAAATGACTTTCAATAAAAAATTGCAACCGTTGATTTGTGTTGCATTGAATTATTTAATTGTCTCCAATCACTCCATCACACCGTGTCATGTTCACCTGGAAGCAAGAGTTTTATATGATATCTATTGATATTAACTATCTAAACTTACCGGCAAGTTTACGACAAGATACACCCCGGCATGTATGTGTAGATATATTTCAACGAAAATAAAATTAAATAAAAATTGAACAAAAATGATCTTAACAATTTGTTTGAGATATTGTAAAAATGAATAGATAAATTTATGTGTCAGCACCGACGAGTACATGCATGCATATATTGAACCATTCAGTTCTGTAACCATTGTTGTATAAATGCGTGCATTTATTCATTTTCATATTCAGTCATTTATTCGTTCCTTCTTTCTCTCCCCATCCAGCCACGTCACACCCTTCAGCCACCACTCGGCTGCAGACGACGACACGCAAGAATGCAGGTACGATGGCAATTTCATTTGGCTCCTTATCTCACCAGCATCACAATTTCATCATTTCAACTCGAAACACGACACTTTCCTTCCAATCAAATTGATTTTCGTTACTGCTACCACCATCATCATCATTATAATCATCGTACTTTTAATAATTTTTAATCATCATGAGTTGAGTATCATCATCATCACATCAGCAAACATCACATCATCCTTTTCAGTTAATTTCGAATTCTTTTTTCGCTTAAAATGTCTGCAACCGTAACAAACTTTAAAAGAATTGCCATAATCTACCTTTCTCTCTGTGACATCATCGCCATAATTCTATCATCATCATCATTGCTCTTCTCACTTAATGATAATAAACGATCATCGCGATTATTTAATCGTTCTCAACATCATGCATTTACACCATATCTAATCATTTAATAACATTTTGATACCATCCCAAAGAGTAGTACATTTACGACAGTTGCAAATTACATTCACACTTTTCAACACGAAAAATTTCAACTAAATAACAAATTAACTTTAAACCCAACAAAAACCACATAACAAACAAATCACGTGACGTCATGGGAATCCCCACATGTCAGTAACCAATAGTCTCATATCCATTGGTCCAAGTGAGTTGTTATGCACTTGCCACGTGTTAATCAATTTCGCATCGTGTTCTGACATTTTCTGATAAACATCACATCTCAATTAACACGATTCACGAAAAATTCTCTTACATATTCAATATTTGTTTAATTTGTTTCAACAAAAATATATTTCTTATGAACCAGCCACAAGAAACTCCAGCGACGACGACGACGACGAGGTAGCACCCAAAAGTATGAAATTCAAATTTTTGAATTTTCATGTTTATATATTCTTATATTTATTTGATAACATCGCAAAAACTTCTTTAGAACAATTACACCGACAGAAATTAGCATCATCTTTCTAACACATCAACAAACATCACCACCATCTTCAACACATCAACAAACATCACCACCATCTTCAACACATCAACAAACATCACCACCATCTTCAACACATCAACAAACATCACCACCATCTTCAACACATCAACAAACATCATCACCATCGCCGCTATCTTTAGAGAGCATATTGGATTCGTTGGTGCCATATTGGATAATCGCATGTGCAATATTCGGATGTATGCTGGTGGCTGTCTTCATCATCGTCCTTACCATCATCCTCTGCATCAAATTCGAAAATGGAGACGGTATGTATGCGTAGAAATCCAATTTAATAAAACGTTTGTGATCCTAGTCTTAAAATTAAAGTAGGGTCGAATGTTAAGTTAATCCACCTCGTCACGTTTATTTGCTATTAACTGCATTTCTCCTTTTGTACGTAACCATTTTTCCAAATAACTTTTAAGCTCTCATTAAAATATAATTTTCAGATCCAGAAGTTTCTCCGGCTCAAACAGAAGAAACTGAAGATTCTGAGTTCGTTTAATTCAAACATGACGAATAATTGTGATAATTGAATGATTCTTTTTAGCTTTAAAAAAACACATATCCAAACTTTGATTATAGTGAACAAGAAAAAGAGGAGGTATCTAAGAAAAGATCTCGAAAGCCAAAAGATGACGACGATGAAATTGAGGAAAAAAAAAGAATAAAAGAAAAAGATAGCAAAGATAAAAAGAATATGAAACATAACAATTCTCTCGACAACGATACAAAACGCCATGTGGCAGACGGAAGAAGTGATATACACGTTGAGGAATCCAATAACGCCACCGGCAGAAATGTGGCAGCACCAGTCGTAGACAATACGGGAACCTCTCAAAGCATCCACGGTCTCAGCAACACGTTCCCGCAAAACTTCACAACAAATCCGCAGCTGTCAAAAGTACAAATGATACCAATGGTAAACTTATCCAACCAGCAACTGCATCAGACCACCAACATCAACCAATCCATGACAACAACGAACACTCAACTGATGAACACATACGCAGGTCGTGCAAGCAGCACTTACAACCAACAAGCCCCACCAAACAATTTTTATTTACAATCACCAGTGGGACAACCCAACCCAACAAACAACGTCAACATGGCACAATCCATGCCCCAGTTAGCAGGCCAGTCGAATGTGGGTATGATGAATAACTTTCCGAGCAACAACAATGCGCAGTATATAACCACGAACAGCATGCCGTATGCAACGAGTGGCAACAACCTGCAACAACCAACAAACATGAGACCGTATCTCGACCAGTTTTCCGATACTAACAAGCCGAGTTAAAACAGCAAAATTTATATTGAAAATGCTGAAATGGAAAAATATTTATATTTTACATTAACTAGTGAACAAGAATAAACATTAATGAATTATGTAATTTCCTATTTATGCTCGAGTTTAAAATTAGCATATATTCACATTAATAACTGAATGAGATGGGAAGTTATCGAGAGAAAATTCTTGTTGCGTTACGCGTTCTCAGCCGTCAACTCAATGAAAGTGAGGATGTATAAATTTTTATTCGAATGTACCGTTGTTACAACCGATATCGCCATAAAATCGTGAAAAACTACCAACCAACCATCCCAATCAAAGCAAGAATAACTTCTTTTTAACTCCATCGGTATATAATTCAACTGTCCTATTTCATGTATATACAATGTACATGCAGAGATAGGTAGCAAAAATCAAAGTATTGAATGCAGATGTGTTGCAAACAAATTTTATTGATCTGCATATATATTCAAGAATAAATATTTCAACTTGAAAACAAAACAATAAATAAATAAATAATAATAAAACCATGAAATAATGTTAGAGAATGTTTTAAAACACATTCACCCATTTGACTGGCAAACCTGATGCCAAATGTTAATTGGAAGAGGGTAAAATTAACCTAATAAACAACCAAACTAAACATTGATAATATAGAAATTAGAATGAAATTAAAATCGATGTTTTTAAATGTATATATAAAATATATGCATCTGTATTTAACGCAATTTAAAAATAGGGATGTACTCGTACCTGTATATAAACATTTACATATATGCATTTGTTTATTATACGTAGTATCAATTAAATAAACTTAAAACCTAGGCATACCCAAAACAATAACTTCAGACCATAACAGCATAAAATAGTTTATCGCGCATTTCAAACAAGAAACTCGCCCTCACTAATTATAAAATCCCATCAATGAACAACTACGGCTACAATCATTAAATAACATCTAAACAAACTTTTTTACATTTGTAGAAGTTGTTGCCATAAGAAGCATTCATTAAACGTAACGAGTATCACGAAAGAAAAATAAACATGTCCAGAAACAAAATACTCAGGCATGCATCAACCCTTTTATGCTTAATAGGCAAGCATACCGATAATAAAACAAACTATAAAATAACGAATGTGGTTAGTGAAGTTATTTGGCGATCAGCCAATGCATTAATTGACCGAGTGGCTGGCTGAATGAGTTTGCTACTATACAATGGATGTTAGATATATCAATGTCGCTAGAAGAATAAATTAATAGACGGCTAATTCGTGGTATAGATATCGACATGAAAATTCAAATTCAATCAATCTATTTTGATTACGCTATAAATCTTTCGGACGAACCAGAAACAGGACAGGAATCCAATGGTGCCTGAAATTTAATGTTAACAAAGCTTATTGGTGAACTTTAAAAACACCTACAAATGAACATAATCACGGAATTGCAGTATATCAAACATTATTATGCAGACTAAACTAAGCTCATTCAAGTCCACAAATGTGCTATGAGTTTCTTTCATTCATTCACACACACACACACACACACACACAGACACACACACAGACACACACATAAACGAACACACACGCATATACACACATACAAACAAACCAATATGAAAAATCTTTCTCAAAACCAGGACAACAGTATTGTGACCAACCTGTAAGCAGGAAAAGCATGAAGGACAGCATGAACGTGTACCCAAAGTAGAGCATGGCGCTAAGCACTCCTGCACTTTCCATCTTGGTGAAGAAGTAGTGGGCACAGTAGCCAAAGAAGTAGAAGGCAGTCGATCCACTGGACAGGAAAGCCCTCCACCACCATCTGTAGTCCTGCACGTTTCGATCATCATCAATATTCACAATTCACTATTGTGGATGTGAATACTATTATCATGATTCCCGTACGTTTCAATCGTACTCACCACTACCACTATTATCATCTTCTGATAGATTGCACAGCCATTTTCACAGCAAAAAAGAAGACAAATGGCGTAATGCAATTTAATTTCTCGAAATAAACAGCAGTCTGAACAGAATGCAAACTATGAGAACGTGCGAAAAAAAGATTGAAAACGAACCTCGGCACAGAGTTGAAAGTAGCAGAGAAGTATCGCCGTCTCCGAACAGATGATCAGAAGAATGACGAAGATGACGAACAAACAACCAAACATGTAGTACACTTGATGACCCCTGCATTAATTAATTAACTAATTAATTAATCCATAAATAATTCATTCATTCATTCATTCCTTCGTTCGTTCGTACATTCATCTATTCATTTATTCGTTAATTCACTTGAAGCTATAAACTTACAACTTATAACTATAAACTTTAGTTTTTGTCATTTGTTCATTCAGTTGTGATACTTGCCATTTCGTTGAAATTATTCAGTTACATCAATTAAGGCACTAATATGAATTAATATAATAACAAATGCTAGAAGCTGCACGAGTTCATGAATAAACTTCTGAAACTTTCCACTGCAGCAACAAAAAAGGCGAAATACCATCTAACCATCTCATTTACCAGGTTTAATTCATAAATTAAAAGTGCACTTAATATTCGGTAGAATGATTGATTAAATAATTGACTGTTATAGTGAATGAATGAATGAAAGAATGGATGAATGAAAGAATGAATGAATGAATGAATGAATGAATGAATGAATGAATGAATGAATGAATAAATGAATGAATGAATGAATGAATGGATGAATGAATGAATGAATGAGTGAACAAGTGAACAAACAAACTAATGATTGAAACAATGATAAAAAATGAATGAACGAAAGACAAGAGTAGAGACCAGATGCTGTTGAGGATGAAGAAGAGTTGTATGCAAATGCATCCGAACGGCAGGACCCCACCCATGACGACGGATGAGATGCAGTGCGTGTACCAGGATCCTGTTGGGATCTGTCGTGGAATCTGATTCGTCTTTACTGGCAACTGGAGAGTCTGTGCCGGCAGTTGTTCATAACAATGGTGATGGCGATGATGGTGGTAAAGATGATGACGACTGACAAACAAATGTAAACGAATGTAATGTAAACAAATGTAATGACAAATGTAAACGAATCTAAGATATTTATTCAATCATTTAAAAGCTGCAAACAACAAATTTGAAAATAAAACAATGGGATAATGAAGGCAGATAAAAAAATGAATTACCATTTTCTTAAATCCAAAGAAAGCACCTATGAAGGTGAGAGGAACAGATATTCCAAACCAGAGAGCCAAAATGGCAATGAGGGTGGTGAAGGGGATGGCCGCACTGCTACCCAAAAACCAGAAGACCAGATTCAACAGGAAGAACACGAGGAATAAACATCTGCAAACATAACGATGGTGTCAATGATGATGGTGGTGGTGGTAGAAGTTTTGCTAACATAGTTGAGTTTGTTCATTTACTAACAACTAATATCTAACATGCATTTCATGGATTATTTAGAGAATATGTATAGTAGTAACTGGACATTACTGTTCAGGTGGCCATACCAGATGAATTTTTATACAAATTTTATTATGGTCACCCTGCTTTCTTATAATTTTGAATCTTGAAAAGCAAATAAAATTTCGTTTCGTTTCGTTTGAATTTACATTTCTAGCTTATGTTTTCTTTAATGTGGCTAGAAGCATTTCTATACACGTAGATACAGGACAACGACCTCAGTAACAAATTTGTCATTCTCAATTTGTAAAAATTTATGAAAGTCTGAAAATGTAACATGAGTATGTTTAAAAATTAGAAATTTAAAAAATATGATGAAACTGCAATGAAAAATTATAAAGCTATTAAATGAAGATGCAGTGACAAGGATGAAGATGGTGATGAGTAGCAAAAACAAACCCTGGACACATGAGCGAGGTCATGAAGACCAATCTCTTCCAAGATTCACCTCCAAGCACTGCATTGAAAAATTATCTCATTCATTTTGCAAATCTCGTCCAAAAAATTTTTACATTAATTTACCAAGATGACTAAATATAATTTCCAAACAAAAAAATGAACTCGTACAAATATCTATGTGTGTATAATACCTAAAAATTTAAATCAACAACAACTCAAAAAAGTACGAGTGTAAAGAAAGTTTGCGAGCAAGCAACGATAACATAACTATGAATGAATGAATCCTCAGAAATGCACCATCACCAACAAGCACATAATTTCAATCTATTTTCAAAAGCACAAACCGAACAAACTGATGAAACATCTAACTTTTATAGATCCTCGAGGAGACGTACCCAGCAGGAGTACCCAGACAGACGTAGAGGACAAGGGCACAGGTCATCAATGAACCCCTGTTTGCCGGGGAGAGGAACCCAAAACAGGCAAACACTGATTGGAGTATGCAGCAGGTAGGTGCAGTTGAGGAGGTGTTTTCAATATGTACACATACATACAACAGTTGTCAGCGTAAATTATTTTATTATATTATAACATCAAACTTTGTCAGTATATCGTGAATAATATTATAGTATAACATCAAAATTTTATTGTAGAAATTTGAAGTGTTTTTTTTATATAATTCATTACATACCAATCAATATCTAACAATGTTTATTTAATCAACAAAACTTATGAGTTATAAAGGAAGTAAATTTTTTCAATCAAAAGCTATACAATGCGCAGCCAAAAACAAATTAAACTGATCAATCTGAAAAATGAAGTCATGCCATTTGTTTGTTGAACTTTCCTAACACATCTAACACTTGTAGGCACCATAATTTATGATAACTTATAAATGAATGACAATTATTCCACTTTTTAATATAGACAAAAAAAATGTAAAAAATATAGAATCTCACGTAGGGTGATGAGTGTCATGAAGAGCAGCTGAACTCCATTGCCAAGGAAGACTGACAAGAGCAGGGCACAACACGGACTTCTGAAGACATCTCCATGCACCAGCTTCCATCCAAACTCCTCCTCCTCGTCTTTCTGCTTCTGTAACATCATAAAAATTTGTTTCTAAAAATTTCTATTTAAAACGTTTCGTAAGATGGTTTCAATTTAAATAGAAATAAAATGCCAAGATCAGGAATAATTATAAACAATTCAAGATCCAACTTTTTACAAATAAAAAAAAATCAATAAAATAAAGTAGAGTAAAAATAATGAAAATTATAAAATAAAAACTGGATAGACAGTAGCAAAAAGAATGCTTTGAAATGAGGTATTTTATGTTAATTATGCAAAAACGTTTCACGGAAGCAAAGAAGACCTCATTTAATGAATTGTATCTGGCAATGTCCTTGTGCAGGGTTCGCAACAGAATGATGGCGACCATGCCTGAGAGCATCAGCACTATCACCAGAGAATTGACTATACTGCAGCATGTGGATGCACAACAATATTATCTTTATAACACTTACATTCATGTTTATCTATCATGCTACAATTGAACAATCTGAATAAATAATTTATTAACAGTTTGTTATTAATTAAAAACTAGATAAATAAATGAATAATAAAAAAAGAGATTAACCTGAACCACTGAATCTTGGGATCAGAAAGTGAATCCAGAATATAATCCCATCTAGAACTCCACTTCACTTGTCTGTTTTCCTGATAAGCAAGTAGCAGTAAATGGTTGTGAGAATATTACAGATGATTAAGCCATCATATTATTATGAAAAAGTACTAACCACAAATTTGACTCCATACGAGTACCGGATCTGAAAGTTTGCTGTGAGGTTGGATGGCAGGTCCATAGAGACATCAACAAAGGCTTCCTTACCTGACTTGCCTGGCAAGTGCTTCACACTGCAACAACACACAAACATTAAAATGTCATTATATATATATATATATATATATATATATATATATATATATATATATATATATATATATATATATATATGAATATATATTTATTTATTTATATATATAGACCTAATTATAAAAAATACAGACCTAATTAAGCAGTTACACACCAACGAAAACATAACACAGCATTACATTACCAACAAAAAATGCACCTAAACAATAACATTGCTCTTAAAACTTTCACTGCTGCAACAAATTAATATTAAAATATATCAAACCGCATCAAAACTTATCACACCCAATATCAACAAAGTTCATTACACATAACCACACTAAATAAAATTGAATGGCAAGACAAGCAAAAAAATTAAAGCCATCCAACCAATCAGCCAACTGACCTTCTGAGAATAACCTTGGCTTTAACAAGTCTGCCGGCTTCATTTGGAAGCTTCTCGCCCCAATCATTCTCCTTAGCATGATAATCAATGGTGAAGTCGACGTGGTTGAACAAGTAGTATGTGTTCTTAACTGGCTTGGTTATCTGAGGGATATGATGTTAACCAGTGTACTAATAATTATGCCAAGCAAAAGAAGGATGGTGAGGTGAATCTCGAACTAAAATATGCGGACATGATCAGAACATTTAAAGCCAAGAAATACAAACAAATGGAATATTGATCAAAGGTCAACAAAAGCCAACCAATTTCTCACAGCCATTTTTTCCAAGGAGCTGTTCGTTAATGTAGCATCCGATTGGGAAGCCCGGAGTGCAATACAACTGATCCTTGTCCGATTGCTGGTAACAAAATGCTACAGGCATGTTGTCTATTATCCTTAAGTGAATTTGATAAAAAATCTAGTAAAATTTGTAAATTTGATTAACTTTGTTTAATTTAAAATTAACATAGTATATAATAAGTCATAATTGAAAAAAGTACAAATCCTACCAGTGGTGTTGGTAATTCAGTTTTATTGCATTTTTCAAGTTTTCAATCTTCTTCTTATCATTCACATTGTCTTTTGAATAGGTTTTTGCATCACAAACAAATCTAAAAGATTCATCTTCTTTGAAAGTGAACTGTTAACAAAAAAGTTCACAAAGAGTTACAATAATTATTTAAATGTCTCTCGTGTACTTTTGTTTCAGAATTACTATTAAATTTTCAGTGAAATCACTTTCTCTGTTATAATTCAGTCATTTAAACTCCATATATTAACAAAATTTATAACAATAATTCTGAACTTAAATTAAATGGCACATACAAATTGTCGTAAGTCACATCAATTTTAATTTTTCATTTAAAAAAACAACAAATTTACTGTTAAAAGAGAAAATAATCTGGCCTACGTTAATATTCAAGGCTTAAATTACATAAAAAGTTGACAACCTCAAAACTAAAATTTTATAAAAAGTTTACAAATCCAATTAGAATAAATAGTAATGGATAAATGGATCGGTTTATTAACCTCAGTAAACATCCCTCCACTGATAAACAAAGAGAATTTTTAAATTTAGGATTAAATTGTCATATTTTAACGACAAACTATAAATTGATTAATGCCAACAATTTAGTAAAATTCATACAATACTGTATAAAATAAGGTCTTCTTCTAACATCTAATTTATTTTAAAACAACCCCATGAAATATTTGTCAATTCATAATAATGATTGTATAAAATTGTTTGTCTTTGTTGAGGTACATGATTAAGAAAAAATGGAACAGACCTTATATGGAGACGGACGAATCCTCTCCCCAAACACAACCTGACCTAAGTTTTCCACTGGAGACTCTTCATTATTATTCGAACAGAAATCAAAGCTATAAATAAATTTAAATTAGTTATAATTTTATATCAAAAAAGCAAAATTCCACTCTCTTGGCCATCAGCTTATGATAATGGTGAGAGATATGATTTATAATTTTACAAGCATGCACATGTGTATGTAATGTAAAAGACATCAAATAAACCTTAAAACAATTCATACCTCTCTGTACAACATCAAATACATGTTTTTTGTAGTCAAAAAACCTAATTTTTCCCATATGTTCATAACTTTAAAAATATGTTAATTCACAAAATAGACTAACTAGCTATATTCATAAGGTATCACAGAATCAGCTGAGTTCAATCGGTTTACAAACACCTTAACATCTGCCTAATTTTTTAATCAAAATTTATTAAATTAATATTATTTCAAAAAAAAAAACATTTAGCAGCTAGAATGAAAACACAATTTTGTAATCCTTTTAAATAAATATAAAAAATAATTTATTTTTTATTGTTTATAATTATACAAACCTAACACTTGTTAATTTTAGCCTAACAATCTTGTTACATAATAAAATAAAATAAAAAAGTCTAAAAATTCTAAAATGCCTATTTTTAGTCCTAATCCCAATCTAATGTAATAATCAGGTTCATGTAAATTGTAAGTTAATTGTAAGGTAAGGTGTAGGGAAGCCTAAGATAACTAAGAAAGCCTATCCCTTGATTCTTATTCTTAAGAATAAATTTTATTTTATTCATTATTTAAATTTTTCTTGCTTTTTATTACATTAGATTTGAATTTTGATTAATCATTCACCATCATGACATGACATAAATATATTTATTTTTCATTTTTATTTTAGTTACTAATTATGAAAATGAATAAAATAAAAAGACACTGTGAAAATTGACATTATTACGTTACATTTAAATTAAACTTTAAATGTAATGCAATGTCTAATGTTAAATCTTTAAATTGTAAAGATTTAGCATGTAATTTAATTAAAGTTTAAATTTTAAAAGACAAGTCATTTAAGATTTAAATTAAATTTTCCATTGCTACACTTGACATTTATTAATTTTTAAATATAACAATATAAAATACATTGCATTGCAAATACAAGCATTCACAGTCAATTAATTTCAATTCAATTATCAATCCTGATGAATATTAAATTTAAATAAAAAATACAAACATGATAAAATTAGTTATTAATAAAAAAAATAAAAATTACCTGGCAGTGATCATTAGAAACACTGGACGGGCAAAAATGAACCGGTGCAATTCCAGGTAAGTAGAAAGATTTACAAGTGTTCAAACAAATTAAAACAAATAAAATGATCAAATTTTTGTGAAACATTTTTACAAATTTGTATAAACACAAATCACTAGGCATCGCTCAGTTGCTGACCGGATGTGACAAACAAAGGTGTAACCAAGTGCAAATTAACTACAATGATGTACTGAACTTTCTGTAGAACCTTTATGGGACTTTATTCGTTAATTTTGTGTATTTATAGAACTATTTGATTTAAATTAATTGAATAATTTATTAAACCGGTTAATAAATCACATTCATTATATCGCGCACTGGTTTAATCGGTTAATAATAATAACAAAGTTTAAAGTGGCTCAGTAGACTAGTATCTGTGTAAGAACCACTACAGAATAAATGTCCTACTGTCCTAGCTCTCCTAGCTTGATTTTAAAATTGTTGATTAAATCCACTGAAACAATTTCATCGCTCAGCTCGTTCAAGGCGTTTATCACCCTGCTGCTAGAGAATCATTGCTTTATTGGATTTTCTGTCTTCTTGAAGAGCTTGTATCTATGACCTCTTAATACTTTCCTTTTTTGTTGAAAGAACCTGGTGAACGATGTTTCTTCTTTTCCAGTTATTAACTTATATGTCAGAATCAGATCTCCTCTGCATCTTCTCCTTTCTAGTGTTGTTAATCCGCATTCTTTCAGTCTATCCCTATATTCTAGATTTCCAACTTCTTCGATCATCTTTGTTGCTCTACGCTGTACCCGTTCAAGAATATCTTTGACCTTTTGCAGATCTGGACTCCAAACCTGTGAACAGTGATCGAGATGAGGGTGAACTAATGTTTTATACAAGTTTATAATGATCTGCTTCTCTCTGCACACCACCGTTCTTCTAATACATCCAAGTATTTTATTTGCTTTGGCTGCTGCCAAAGTACATTGTCTTGATGTTTTCGTGCTTTTATGAATATAGTGATTCCGAGATTCTTTTCTTCTTCTGTAGATCGAAGGTCCTTACTGCCCAGTTGATATTGAAAGTCTTTAAGATTCTTTATTCTCTTTTGAGTTCAAGCAAATGCAATCACGCAAAAAACTGTAAATGAATTCATGGCTTTAAATGATCCTAGCAATGAACTACATAGTTCAGCGAATATAACTGAAAGGGATGTTAAATCAATAACCAGGATTTTAACTTGTCTAATCAAACTTCAAACTATTTTACAACTTCGACAAATTTAGTTTATTGTTGCACCATAAATCAAATTGCTCAGCCAATTTTTTCTGTTTTAGAATTGTAGAAGTTTTTTGGTTTAATGAACCAGCTGAACTTGCAGTCCCTACGCCACTGCTCGATGGCTACTATGTGTGTTTACTTATATGGCAGTTACCTTTGGTTAGTAATTGTTAATAAGATTTCTGCGTCTGTCAGATCCTGATTTTAAAGAATAAAAAAAAAGAAAAAAAAATTAAACTCAATCATTTAAAATTACTATTTCTACATTCCTAATTAGTTATTCGGCTATCACAAATTCTGTACTACTCGTCCCACGATCCAAAAAGATCAACATAATACCGTTTCCATGTTTTCATCGAGTGACGCCGAGTGTCAGTTAGTCGGCAAGGGGGGAAACGAGATAATCGTTACTAATGAAGTACGAACAACATCATTGAATTTTAATATTTTGTTTAACGTATGGTTACCACAATGAAATAAACGAAGCAGTCCACCAATAAGTTTGACAACAACGGTACCTACGGTTAGTGAATTCGAAACTGAGCTGACGATGACTTCGAAAGTTCAGCTTTAGGAAGTAGTTAGAGCATTTAAAACAGATTTTATTAATTTGATCCTTCGACGTGATATTATGTTAAGCCAAGTCATGCATCAGCTTGATGATAGTAATATAACTTAGAATTCAAACTATAATAAATTAGTATTGTTAATAAGTTAATCAGAAATCAGGCAATCGGTGAGCAGAAAATGTAAGCAACTAAACCATTAAAAACAGGTCATCATGATCAAACATTAATACAATGAAATAATATTGTATTCTTAGGAGTAAAGCTGTTCTACATTAATCAATTTATTTGCACAAAATATTTCTCAAGATTTCATAATACAACGAGTAAAATAAAAAAGGCATTAAATTTTGAATTAAAAAAAGTTACGTTACAATATGACTAGAAAATTTTTGATTAATAAACAAAACGTTTTAATGAGATTATCAAGGTCAAATTTGTTAACGAAATGCACACATCAATCAACTTCATATTTGATGATTATAAGCACCTGATTAATTATTGTTTTAGAATTAACAACTAAACAAACGACATAAATTAGTTCATCAACTGAAGAGCAAAAATACTTACCAATAAATTAAAATAAACTTAAAATGAAAAAACTTCTTTAAATTGTTAAAGAATTAGTTTAGTCTTGTTAAAGTTAAATTTTGATTGCCTCAACGAAATTTCCAGGAAACAATCCATATTGCTGGTTCGACTCGAGGTAGCCGATGAACCATCCATCTTTGCACTTCTCCACTACTCTGACAACATCATCCTTATGCAATTCTAATTCTTCTGGACTTCGTGGAGCAAAGGCATGGAGGGCCTTGTATCTGAGCAGATTGATCGTGCAGAAACGACATAAGAATGAAAATAATGAGGAATTAAAAGTATAGAGTCTTATGCATTAACGTGAATTAAATAAAAAGACCAATTAATGTATTTCCAAGATTAAAATTAAAAATGACTTTCACTCAAAAAAGTTTTCGTCTTTATTTGCATCTATATTTGCAATAAAGTACATTTAAAATACGAAAAAATGGTTTAAGGAGTGATTTAGTAAAAAATGTAAATATTTTAAATTTAATTTAATGAACTCATTTGTAAAAAATTGACCAAAATCTTAAATAACAAAAAATACAAAGATCTTGATAAACGTACGAACCTTGGATAAAGGATCGGCTTAACGTCGATTTGAATCTCCTTGTCGTGTGAAGGAGCAAATGATATTTTGTTAGTTTTCTTCTCGCTCTCCAGACCAACACCAGCAGTAACTTCCGAATAGGATGGAGGGCTTTGAAACCTCAATGATGAGAAAGTCATGGTTGGTGGTTGAGGTCTTTGCTGATGTTGATCCTGGTTTTGGCGGTCTTGATGCTGTTGTAGTTGATGATGATGCTGTAGTTGTTGTTGCTGCTGGTTAAAAAAAGTTTGATGAAGCAATGGTGGTCGTTGAGATGGCAGCAAATGATGAAGCTTCGGTATTGGCTGTTGATGATTGAAAGACGACAAACGTTGCTGATAATGTTGTGAATATTTTGGTCTGTCTAATGTTGAAGCTCCAATTCGTCTATTACTACTTTCCAGTCTGTACTTGCCCAAACTTTTGCTTCTGGTATTATAGTCTCCGACATCATCCTCATCTTCATCGTAAATACTTCTCAGTGGAGGCATCTGTTTGTAACCAGAAAGCGTGTGTCTCGAAGGCGTTGGTGGCTTGCGACTAATTTGTGGATGTTCATCGACGAAAAAGTTTTTTCTGGTAGGGAAAAGGGTAACTGAATGTGGAACGATCCTTCCGTCCCTACAAACAACAGGCTCCGACATGACAGATGAAGGCCTGTGTGGATGGTAGGTTGGTCCACCTATCAGTGATCCACCACCCAGAGGAGTGGACTCTCTTGAAAAGTTACAAACGGAAAAATCCGTTGGACTCATTGGTGCAGAGGGTATGTCTGGACAAACCGACAGCATCGATGGGGACTGCCAACCTGATGGAGTAACATGAAATTATAGTATCAGCTATAATGTCTATACCTTTCTCTCTCTCTCTCTCCTCTCTCTCTCTCTCTCTCTCTCTCTCTAACATTTATATGTGCGTATGTTATTATTTATATACATATAGATATATAAGTATAAGTAACCATGTGTATAATTGGGCTTGAAATAATATATATATATATATATATATTTTGGTAACAGACTGTTGTTAACGCAACATTTCAAAAATTCAACACTACTTTCAACATTTTAAAACAAAACAATAAAATGTCTAATTTCTCTGAAATTAATAAATTAAAAAGAAATATAAAAAAGTTGAACAATGTTGAAAGTAGTGTTGAATTTTTGATATATATATATATATATATATATATATATATATATATATATATATATATATATATATCCTCATCATCCTCATCTTCATCGTATTATATATACAATAAATTATTTATTATTTATAATGAAAATGATAATTAATCTTTAGGTTAACACTATTCTAGTGAAGTTTGGTAGCTTCAAATGTGGTTTGCAAAAAGTGGAATAAGCATGTAGATGTGGTCAAAAAAGAGGGAAACCTGGCAGTGGCGTGTGAATTCTTGAGGAGGATGGCGTGGGGAGGGGAGTGGCAGAAGGTGTTGGCAGAGGAGTGTCTGGCTCTCTCATTGTTGATACGTAGGCGACTGGGAAGATACCTTGTTGCTCACCACATCTTCCCTCGTACCAATTATCATCCACCCTTCTTATCAAGGTCACCACATGATTCTGCAGAAACGTTCAAATCATTATTAAACAGCAGCAAAGAATAAAAATAAGATACAATCTGTTTTGTGATATAAAATGACAGATTATCTAAAAACAAGCTATAAACAACAAAACATTTCATACATTTCAAACTTCACAAATGAATAATAATAGTTTACAGCGATAACGTTGCAGTTGTGTTCCTATTAATAAAATTAAAATGAAAAGTGGAGCCACGAAAGAGACGAAACGGAAGCAGACTTTTTTGAGAGGAATTTCAAGTGGCGACCTCGGGTGGAAGTCGTACAAGACAGTTGCACTTCCCTCTTTCATTCGAGCCAATGAACGCACTGCTTCTATCGACTCCAGTACCTTCAATTATTCAATGACTGGTAAACAAACTTAGTCTCCTTAATTTGTTTTATTTTCGAAAGAACTTTTTTGTCACTTCAGTAATATATTTTTACATATTCTCCAAATAAACTGCATCAGCATTTCACATATTCCAACAGAAAAGATTTATTGAGATACATTTGAATGCGTACATAACAACATGACAAACTTCAACGTAAGAAACAGGAAAGATTCCAATCGTGCTGTGATGTTCACCTTCATACCAGTTCTTATCAACTCTTCTTAAGAGATACACCGTGTCACCTTTCCTCAAAGACAACTCTCTGTTTTTTGGCGTTAGTAAGAAATTTGATGACAACCACAATAACGTTTTTTCAACCACTTTATAATATTTAAAAAATCTATATAAATGAAAGTAATAGTAGGAATGGCAGTAGTGTAAAAAAACGAGTACTTGTTTTAATAACCTACCTTGGTTTCTGTGCTTTAAAATTGTATAAAACTTTAGCTTTCCCTTTGTAAATTGTCATCTTCTTCCTTGATGGGAGTTCCAGATTTTCGTAAAGGGCATCTTCTCTAATACGGTTGGCGAAATCGCTCTTTTTTTCTGCCATGCTGTTTAATATTTTTATATCCAAGATTCGTGTCGGTAACAAATTACAAAATAAATTATAATGATATTTAATCTAATTTCGTATTTACATTTGATGATGACTGCGATATGAGTCTACCAAACAAAAATAACCTGAAGTGGTCTCCATGTAGTCTGCTTTGCATTTCGTGCTTTTCTTTTAAAATCTTCTTCTGCCTTTCAATCTCTAACAATGTTTCCTAAGTTTACAAAATTTTCATATTTTTGGATACTGACGAATAAAAAAGTAAGTTACTTGGAATAATGTTTATTAAACTACCACAACAAAATCTATTTCATTCAACTGAAATACAAAAACTATTATACAATTTATTTCAAGATACGTAAGCAAAGGTTGAAAATATCAACTAAATGTTTGCATAAATAACAAATAGTACAAACAAAAAACAATTTTGACAAACGTGTTAACCAGCAGCTCACCAAATGAAGTTTCTTTTGTCTGTACTCTTCTTCCAAACTTTGTTTCAGTTCTTCTTCTAAATTTCTAAAGCCCTTATCTCTAGCTAACGGATCACTGATCGCATCATGCCTCTGCTTGGCTCCAGATGCTAACATGTTGAATGATGGAGAACGGCGGTGGTCATCGTAACCGGATTCCGACTCGGTGACATTTCTTTTTGTAAAATACTCTCTTTCAAAAGCTGTTCGTGAATCGTCCAATCGACCAACATTCTTCAGCTTGTCCCTGAGTCATTTAATTTCGTCTTACGATGAACATGACCATCGAAATATTTAATATGGGACGATTGAAATGATTCCGTATACAATTAATTCAACATTACATTAACATGATATTCCATAAACGCAAAATGTTTTCATTTCATTCAATGAAACTACGCACTTTGAATAGAATCGACGAAACATTTTAAATAAAATCATTTTTAAGGAACATTGAAACTATTGATATATGTCATTAAGTCAAGTGACCAGCTGACGAGTGACTGATGATTGGTTGAGAGGCTGGACGGAAAAAAGAAGCAGCATGTTTATATATTTAACTTCATTTATATCACGTAATAACAAATGAGTAATAACAAAGATATTTGTAAATCAGCGTTCAACTGTGCAAAGATAACAACAATATCTAACAGTAACAACGGTATATAACTTATAATAACAATGAAAAGTGCCTAAATATTATTACAAAAACAATAACCAAAAGCAGCCATTGGTACAAAAATAAGCTAAGTTGAAACTCTGTATCAGAGAGTTTAGCAACAAGATAGTTAATTAAGTGACGATAGTTATAAATATTAATATATATATGTATATATATTAATATTTATCGTCGGACACAAAAGTAAATTCAACTCATCGTTTTTCCACGTACTTCAACTCCAACTTCAATGCTTCATTCAAATGCAAGTTTGCTGAAAAAAATAGAAAAAAATGGTTGTGAATGAGAGCAAAATAAATTAATTTCTTAAATAAATATTTTTAAAACATGCAGTGAGTAATTTTGTAGAGAATGACAACAAACCTGTAACTGGTGGTTTACTGAACGTCTGTTGAATATTAAGCAGATGTGGTGGACGGTGATGAGCCGGCAGTGAGGTCGACGATGATGACAAGTAACGAATGTGCGGCTGATCATCTAGAAAAACGTTCCTCCTGCCCAATGTTCCAAAGTTCTGCCACAAAAATGTTCGTGGAGAAAATGAAAATAATTGAATCTAATATTAATGAAATTCTCATGTGATATTTGAACCAGTGAATAAAATGAAAAAATCAGTTGAATGTCAAAAACAGATCTCTATCTGTAAACATAATGAATGCAAATGAAAATAATTCAAAAGCAGATTGGCTTTATTTCAATACATTTTAAAACATTCAATAAAAAACAGTATTAAGAAACTTTCATTAAGAAACTTAGTAGTTTGTATAACGTTCATTGTACAGTAAATGTTACTTTACAACTACATCTAATTAAAATCTATTACAAAATATAAGGCTATTGTATTAATAAATAATGCAGTACTTGATTCAACATGGTTTGACTTCCAGGATGATGCAGAGGAATCTGTCTTAAGATGAATTCTTCCTGTTCAACGGGCTCCACGTTGTAAACGTGCGTCGTAGTTGATGACACCACATCTCTGTTATTTGAAAGTGGCTGGCGACGTACAGAATCGATAGTGTGGGCGGGTATCTGCTCGTATATACCATCATCTGTTGAGATAACTTGCTTCTGTGGGACCATTGCATTTTTATGGAATCGTTGGTTTACTGTTGATTGTCGTTGAATCAAAAGCTTTTCTTCATTGGTTTGATCCAAAGTTAGGAAATCATACAGATTTTGTTGTTGCTCTTGTTGATGTAAAAACGGTTTTTGTTCTTTTTGTTCAGCACGTTGTTGTCGGTCGTCTTGTACATTGATGAATGAATGATTTAATGAAGGTACCGCCGATGCCGTGTTACCTGCGCTGAATGTTTTTGCATTTTCCTCGTATGTAACGTTGTCAACATGAACGGTTCCGTGGACAACACTTGTAAAAGATGGAGGCGAAATGAAAGACTTTTCTGATAACGTGATCAATTTTGGATTTAACTGTTCAGATGATCGTTGTCCTCGGTTGACTAGAACATCTGTTTGGTGAACACATTTTTGATGTGGTGTTGTGTCAGCTTCTGGTAAAATTGTCATGTTTTGTAAATGCGAAAACGATTTATCTACTGTTCCATTCTCTGAAAAAACTTTAATTTCCCGCTTTAAAACATTTTTGTCATTACAAATTTTTGGTTCATTCTCGAACGAAGGCGTCGGAGTGACAATGTTGACAAGTTTTTTATCTGTGTGTATTGAAAAGTTTGAATGTACAGGTTTTGAATTTTCCGATAAATCTTCGACTTCAAATTTTTTATTTTGGTTTCTAATTTCAACAAAATCGTAGTCATTAATTGTTTGAAACATTTGTGAGACTGAGCCTTGTTGTTGCGGTTGTTGTTGTTTTTGCTGCTGCTGCTGCAATGTTTGCTGTTGTTGAATGCGTGATGGAGGTTCGCTTTTGAGGACATAACTATCAATGATGTCGTTCGTAGGTGAAAGAAATCCAGAATCTGGAGAGCCAACAATTTCACTGCCACTTACTGTTTTGGATTTTGTCAGCGCATTTCTGCTGTACAAAATTAATGGTTCTTTTGTGAAAGTGGTAGGAGAAATTAGATTCGCATGGGTTTTGTTGGTGTCGCTATGACCTTCATGTTCGATTTTCACTTCTGTGATCAAGTTATTTGAAATAAAATGTGTTGCAGGATTGGTTAATGAATACTGAAAGTTGAAAAAATCTTCTTCTTTTTGCTTATCTGTTGTTGATTTGGTACCAGTTTTATCAACGACAACAGTTTCTTCAGCAGATGTAACCGTTACATGCTTATTTTCTGTTGCATCCTTTTGAAGTTGAGTAATTGCTTGGTCCAGCATTTCATCAAGCGCTTCAGAATCGGTTTTAACTTTTGTGATTAATAAATTTTGATCATTTTTCAGAATTTTCGAGTTTCGTCTCGGCGGCACAGGGGCATCTTCTGCAACGTTTCTCTACAAATCAAGTAATAAAAGCAATTTGATTATTGAACAAAATTTAATTTATAAAAAAAAATGTCAAAAATGCATCACAAACGCATTCTGAAGAGTAACAGAAAACTTTTACAAACCTGAATTATGTAATGGCTTGTAAAACGCTTGGCGGCTGCACCATCTACAGTTTCTTTATTAGTATTATTCCACTCAGCTTTGACATTTGAAATGCGAATGTCGCTTACAATGTTAGTTTTATTTAATTCTTCCGCAGTCGAATTAATGTTTACATTGATATCTGGTTGTCTTTTAATTGTATCGTATTTTGAGGTCTGGTTGAAAGCATTTCTGCCAATCAAAAGTTCATCAAAAGAATCATCCATTTTTAATTCATCTTCACTCCTAGACTCTTCTAGTTTTGAATCAATCACAACATTTGCTTGGTTTAAAGTGGAAGAGCCTAGAGGTTTAGGCTGAGTAACGTGATTTGATGAAATGATTAATGTTTCTGGTTTTGAATCTAACGTCTCTACAACATCAATTTTGTAACTTTTTAGTGTTTTTTCTAAAGCATCAATTTCCGAAAATATAGATGAAGACTTGTCTTCCGATATGAATAAAACTTCATTATCATTTTTTGTAGAAACATCTAACTTTTGACCATGTTTAACTATTTTGACGGGAATATTCGTGTCACTAACTTCTTCACCAACGTGGTCTGTCGCTAACTGATAGTGTAACACCTGTTTAGAGTTAGTATATGCAGTTGGATTGGCATTCATGAAGGCAGATTGTGTGAGGGGCCTAACAGAAACGCTGTAATTTGCAGATTTTTGAAAACTTGAGCTCGTTTGAGGTTTGAAGTCCTTAAGTAATCTTCGAGATTCATTGATTTTTGTTTCAGAATCATTTGGTTTGATTTCAGTAGGAATTTCACATTGAGAAAAATTCAGTACGACGCAGTCGTCTGAGCTGTGGATGGTTCGAGTGGTGGGCACGCTGGGATCTTCTGCTGATGATATATTGAGTATCTTCAAACTTGGAGATATCTGGATAATTGCTTTAGGCTGTGAAGTACCTTTCAATATCTTAGGACTGCAAGAAGAAGTCGAAACATTTTTTTCTAAAGTTGTATCTGTTGACAGTGATGGAGGCGAAGAATCTGTAATTTTAACGCTTATACTTTTGCTATTTATGTTTTGAATAGAACTAGTAGAAGCTGAATCTGTTCTGCTATTAATCACAGATTGAAATTGTGCGTCAGCGTTTTGAGATGTATTAGCATTGTTAGGAGAAGATAAAGCCATGTCTATTTCTGGCGACTGTTTCTTTTTGTTTTTTTCTACTTGTTTGCTATATGAAGAGAAATGAGATGAAAAAGATATGTTAGTGGATGAATTGGTTTGTGGAGATGTCGCTTGCAAAGGTTCATTTTGTATGTGTTGATCGTGAGATTTTGAACGAAAGATACGATCGAGAAAAGATCTACACGATTCGCCGATTGATCTTTTGCGTTTCATTTTGTTGTCACTCGGTGAAGCATATGATGTCTTTCCGATAACACAACCTATGGTTAAAAACAATAATCTTTAGAAAAAAAAATAAATATCAAGTTTATTTTGTTAACGTGAAGTGAAGTAAAATTTTCACAAGTTATGTGGTTAATATTAAAAAATAAATGAATCAAAAACATAAAAAGTTATAAATATTTTAATAAGGTACGTACCAGCCAATGAATTATTATATACTGATACAAAAAATCACACAAGTGACGCATAGCAGTTGTAAAGATTACACAAATTTTATAAACACTCAACGCATCATTTAAGACTAGTGGTGGTTCCATCTTATTTAAACTGTTTACAAAGTGCACTTTCAATATATTAAGTGAGAGCTGGTTCGATCGTTTCATTCGTTCAATTGAGTTCACTTCCTAAACTCTGCTGTGCAGTGGCATTTTTCTTTTCAATGGATATCGAAATCTTATTTTTTATTTCAATAACATAATTAAATATTCCAAACTGAGAAGTATTGTAAAAATTAACTGCACCAATGCACCCACACACACACACACACACACACACACACACACACACACACACACACACACACACACACACACACACACACACACACACACACACACACAATGGGAATGGGACGCGGTGCAGACATAATTTGTTTTCCAAAGAATAAAAATCATAATCCACGTTTCAAAACTTTAACAATTAATGATTGTCTTGAACAGTCTTTCTAAAAAAAATGCATTAGGATTGAACGGTCTTATCGAAACACTGCAGATGCATTAGGCTAATTAATATAATGCCGGACCAACCAATCAGCAAACATACAGAGATGCGATAGAAGCAAGCAAGCAAGCTTGCTTGCTTTCAATGTAATTAGTTTTACATGGAGAGCCTGCAAGCAACGGTCATGCATCATACGCTTCCCATGGATGAAAGGTCAACGTGATATGATGATGGCGCTGATTGCATATTTTATTGTCACATGTAGAGTTTCATTTCTGCTGCGATTTATATTCACAAACATTAATAATGCAGATTGTTCTCGTGTTTAATAAGTCAGTTCAATGTTTATTATTACATTAAGGTGAACTTATTAACGAACATAAGTATTATGGAATAATGGCGTTTAATAAACGTTATTTGTTATTGTTTAAATATATTTAAACTTTAAAAATATGCAAACTATAATTTTTCAATTCCTCATCTATCAAACAAAATGATGATGACAATAAGAGCAAGCGCACTTGAATTTCCTATGAAAACATGCCAAAATTTGAATACAGGTTAAAAAAGTTGTAGTGATGAGTAACTTTAGTAAATATTATTGAACACCATTTTGTAGGCAGCGAAACAAATGAAACGAGTTAATAAATAATCAATTCAGTAACTTATATAGAGAAAGATTCACAAAAGAAAAACCAATGAAACAATAAATTATGTTAGCATAAACCATATCTACATTTATCAAACCACAATTTGATAGCAAAGAGACTGGATTGCAATTCAATCACCTAATGATGCCCGCCTACTTACAATGATATAGGCCTACTGCAGGCAGTTTCAAATAAATGCCATTACACCACACCATTAAATCAGTAGCATTGTTTTAATCATAATTTATATTTATTGCGTTCAATAAAAGCTTTGTTCAATTAAACCTGCAAGATAAATCAAACAAATAAAGTCAGAATCTACATACACGTAGCATTTGATTGGATTTATTACATACATGCATATATTGGCTTGCAAGAAATTGTGTTGTATTATTCTTTTTAATTCAGACCGTAATTCTAATTCCTTTTAATCAGTTTATTAGTAAATAGTTAATTATTAATATTTAATAATTTTATGTTGAAGCTATAACATAATTATTATACAAATTTGTATTCCCTATACTCTCTAAACCATCTTGTACAATCTTTAAAACCTTCAACTCACAACTTCATTGTAGAACTCATAAAGGTGGCAAGCAAAACAAAAGTCTTTTGACGTTTGTGCTTCGGTTCTCACCAGCCTCATGAAGCTTTCAAACAATTCCGCCTATCTACCCATGTTACGTTGCCCCATATTTAAACGATTAAATAAACATTTGCTGATTCAAAAAAAAATATTCTTATGTTTTATGTAAAAAAAAATTATCTTATGTTCTCTGGTCAATTAAATGGGAAACCACATTTCTTGGTAGCGTGCAACGTTCAGTGTAGAATAAAAACAATTCGTCGAATTTGTTCACGAATGCTTAATTAACACTTATTATTAATGCATATCCATATATTCATATCCATTTGTGATTCTGACATTAAAACTTAACAAATATTTATAATATACATTATATTTACATGTAATTCAAAGTAATTCAATGTAATATGGAATCTTTAGGTTGCAATAACCTAATAATAATAAAGCCTTAGTATGGATAAAATGATGAAATGTTAAGAAATGAATGCTGATGTATCAACTCACAACAGCGCATGGCTTAAAAATGATTTGTTTCAACCTTAAAAAAGCATCGAAAACAGTAAAGAAAAATCAGCAAGAACGAAAACTTATTCTGCAAACGACGCCCTTGAGTTAGGAACTCCACAAAACATATAAATACGTCAATACTTATATACAGCTTTTTTAACAGAACACAAAAACATAGCAGCATCTTATCAAAAGAATTGGAACGTTGCAAAAAATAAAGAAACTGATTAATGCTGCTCAGAATCTATAAATCATCAGATGATATGACGCTGTAGACAAAAAACAACAACAAAAAACCAAAACCTGCAACACAAAAACTCACCTCCAATATCACTGTTGTTGTCGTCAACAAATGAAGTTCGGTTACTGTTGTCAGTACTCTTTGATGTTTTGATGCAAATTGTGTGGGGCCTCTTCTTACTGGGCGTCAGTGTAACTGTACGTGTATGGTGTGTGTTTGTGTTTGTCTGTTTGAATGTATATCTTTTGGTTGGTATGTCTGTTTGTGTGTCTGTTTGTGTTATTTTCCACGTGAGCGACCTGCCCAAATGTATGCATGCACGCGTGTATGTGTGAATGATGTGTGAGTGGTGTGTACGACGTGTATGTGTGTGTAAAAGAGTGAGGGAGAAAGAGAGAGAGAGAGAGAGAGAGAAAGCGGTGTGTGTATAAGAGAGAAAGAGAGAGAGAGAGAGAGAGAGAGAGAAAGAGAGAGAGAGAGAGAGAGCGGTGTGTGAATAATGTGTTTGTATCAAATAAATACACCATCAACATACTAATGGTTGTTTATTAAATAGTTTAGTTCAACCAAAGCGAATGATCCATTTATTCCAAGCTGCATGGTGCATGCATGAAGGAGAGAATTTCAACACATTAAAGACCTCAAAACTAATAAAAAAAGCGGGTTTCGATCAAAGTTAACAGTTAAGGAAACAGGAAAAAAAGTAAAACTCGGTGTACAGTACACAGTTTGGAAAATGAGAAATATAAGAATATATAGAAGTATAATATATATAAATATAAATATATATAGAAGTAATGTGGGTAAAGTTATTCAGAAGGAATAAACTGGATTGTGTAGTTTATGAAATTTCAAGATTAAAAAAGATGCACTAGTTTATATCTAAAACTGATTATTTTATGATAAAATAGAAATTATTGAATAATTTTTGATGCAATTAATATACTCCAGAGCTTCAAATAAATCACTTCAGTACCTTAATTTTATCCGGTTTTAAACATACTATACCAATGAAAAGAATACTATCTCACTTCGTCATATGGTTCGTATTTAAAAAGGTAAGAATAAAGACATTAAAGAATGAGATGCAGACCATTGACATGCAGTAACAAGCAAAAATAGTTCAGTCAACAAACAGCAGTTGGTTTATTCATTAGTCTATAAATGTTTACTAAACTTAATTGATGATAAATTGGTGGAAGATTAAAGTGAGAGTATTCATCAGCGTCACTGCCTGATAGCTACAAACTAAAGTAATGACGCTACCTCAACAAACATGCAACAACAACAAAGACGCAACCACAGCAACAACATCAAACACACAACAACAACAACAACAACAACAACAAAGACGCAACCACAACAAAACTCAACCACAAGAAACATGCAACAAAATAAACAAACCAAATGCTAACAAATATCATCAATGATGAACAAACACACAGAGTAGAAACAAACACAAACAAGCGGCAGAGACTACATAGTAAAAATCACAACACGACAACAATGCTGCAAATCTCATACCATCTGTAACTGGGGCAGAATCAGTTGATCTCGTGCTGGTGTGGCTACCAAATGATGACTTGCTTTCTGAGTTTCTGGTGAAAAATAAACATCATCATCGCCGTCATATTAATTAATCATCATCATTGTCATCATCGCCATCATTATTATCATTATAACCATTGACAACTTCGTTGTTAATGAATAATAATTATAACCTTTATGCAATAAGAATATTTTGCCTCTGTCAAAAATTTTCATTATCAGTAACAACATCCATATAATTATTAGTTTATTATATTATTATATTATATAACTAGTGCATAACCACCATCATCATCTACTCTATCTTAATCATCATCAACATCATCATCTTCATCATGGTGAATATTTAAAAACACTATCCTAGCATTCAGAAATAAATAAACAAATTTGATTTAAATATGAGATCTCATTTTGCATTAGATATGAATGAATTTTATTCCAACATATATTCAATCTCCAAATCAGTGAAAAAATTTCATAAAAACTTTAGACATAGTTTGGGCTGACTGATCTATCTGATCTATCTCGAAAAGTGGGGCTCCCCCAATGTTTCATGCTGGGCACAGCACAGAGTTTAACAACATTAAAGTTTAAACCCATTTTTATAACTATGTGATAAATAATAGGTATACACAAAATAAACATAATATTATGCGTATAAAATATCTTTTATTATATTCAAACTTTTTGTTTGCAAACTCACAACCATCATATAATTTCATTCCTCAAATGCAAGCACATACACAAACAACATTTAACAAAAATGAATTATTCTTTTCATAAAAACACTAATGCAGTTGAATGTTTGTTATCTGTTGATGTGTTCTGGGATGTGAGTGAACCTGAACAAGCAATATGATGGTAGGCAGGCAGATAGTTTTTAAGGTCGTGCAAACAAACAACTGCCTGCATGAACACATGAATGAATGATGTTTGAATGTTTGTCCATCTGTCTGTATTTTCATGTAGATTTTTATCTGTCTGTCTGTCTGTCTGTCTGTCTGCTAGTTTGGTTACTTACCTTTCTGTTTGTCTGTCTGTGAAGAAGTATATGAAAACAGTGCAACTGTGTATTGATTAATCAAATAAATAATTTTATATGCAAGGCGCAACAAGTACACACACCAAATCACAATATTGGAAAATGAACAGATGAACTTAGGATTTAGATCAGTAAATAAGTAAATAGTTTTAAGATGATGTTCTCAATAAAATTTTCACAAAAATAAAAGAATGAAATGATGCCGATGATGAAAACCGTAATCAAGATAGAACCTTGGAGATTAACAATCCAAAATAAGCAAGCATCAAATTGTGAAGAAGCTTCTACATAAAAATATTAATGAGAAGTGATAACAACAATTCTTTGGTTGAATGAAGAATGTAATTGTATGAAAGAATGTTGATCATACAACTGGAGCAAAGACATACTCATGCATGCATACAAAATTTAAAAAACTTACGCTCATATGCACAGCCTTACAGACTACTTCTCTGATGAATGTAAATATTATGTAGAGTACACGCAATATTTTTATGCTAGAACAGCAAAGTGTACAAAAATTTGCAAATTTGCAATTCTAAACCGAGAAAGTAGATGCAAAACAAACAGTTGTGAACGTGGCTGCATCGGTGCATTATGTATTGGATGCATTATAATGTGGTGTGCTTATGATTAAAGCTAAAATTTTCATAAATAAACTAATTCATTTGCAAACTGTCAATAAATATCTTTCAATTAATTTGTCATTTAGTAATAAATTATCTGACCTACATAATCAGAACAAATAGGTCACATGACAAATAAAATAAACTGCATTTGATTGAACTATCAAATTCCAATCCTCTATATCAATAAAATGTAATTGAAATAAAATTATAGAAAAATAAAAATTTGATACTAATCAAATCAAAGTTTTAAATTGTTTGAAATCTTAATTGATGTTTAGATTACCATCAGGCATAATTAGCTTCTGTTTGCTTTGCCAAGTGTAATTTAAAAAATTTTATATAATAATAAAAAATTAATGTTTCTTCATAGTTTATTTCTTAATTTTAATACCTTAATACCTTTAATACCTTTTTAATTTATTTGTATCTTGAATTATTGTTTTTCAACTTAATATAATATAATGTCTAAACTCTTCCAAATAATAATATGAGAAATTTTTTTAAAGTTCAAACAACACTTCCAATCTGGAGTGTGGAATGCTTTGTTGAAATGCAAACATTTTATTAAAAAAAAAATAATTTCCTATTTTATTCAACTTGATGCACAAATGGAACAAAGTATAAACATTAAACCAGGAGTGAGTGAAATATTTAGTCTTCAATGTAAACATTGTGTGTGTGTGTGTGTGTGTGTGTGTGTGTGTGTGTGTGTATGTGTGTGACGTGTGCGTGCGTGTGTAATGATAACAGCTTGAAAATAGCTAAAATAATGATGCTGGATAGAAATGTAAAAACTTGACATGGCATTCATTACACTTGACTCTCAAGATGCACACCTTAAAATGTACATACATGGATAACCCTATTGCAGTTTGAACAAATTACCAATATTAGATAAACATTCATGATAAAGTTCAAATATTTCAAGGGTATGGTGTTCTGTTTTGCAAGAATAATTTATTTATTTACACTGTGATCATATGTATGGTATAATTATACTTGAGAACTTGGTGCTAAATTTAAAAAAGATAACTATATCTTGACCCATATGTGTGAATTTTATAAAAATTGTATTTTAAATTTCAATTGAATAATTAATGCTGACGATTTTTACAAACATTTTAACTTAACTTGTACAAACATAATAAAATTAACTTAAATATGTTCACCCACTTCTGTCCCTCAAAAAAATCTTAATGAGCTTGTTTGTTGTACATCAAAGACATCAACAAACTTCAACTCAGTCAAATTTGAAACTCAAAATTTGCAATAAAAAATATATAACTTTTAATTTTTGAAAACTGTAAATATACATGAATTTGAAATGCAATACAAAAATATATAGAGATTATAATGACAAAGGACAATAAAACACTTGTAAATATTTTGATTTCATAACTATATTTATAACATCTGCTGAACTAAACAAACGTCTGAAAATATATTTGAATATAAAAAGTTGGGAAGTCTTAATGGCATTAAGTTAATGCTGATGTTTCATTTATACTTTTAACTAAAAAATTATTATGACTAATAAATAAATGATGGCTATTTTATTTTTCAATTATTTTGTGAACATCCAATAATAAGTTTATAAAAGTTGGCAAAAGATTAAACTAAACAATAAATTACAATAAGAATTTTGTTACAAATGAAAATGAAATCTTTAAAAATTATTACTGACTGAAATAACATGACTAGCTGATTTCAAACTTCATAAATGAAGTACCTCCACTGTGTACTTACTCACAGACACACCCAAAAACATTAAATTTCATTGTCATGAAATCTGCATTTTTTAAGCAGATGAAAAAACACATCATTGCAAGTATAGTAAAGTATATATAATAAGAAGATACATACATATGTTATGTTAAAAGTTGTGTTATTTCCAAGTATGGTAACATTTATTTGCCATCAGTTTTATTTATATATCAAATTAATCAAAAAATTTATATTATATTAACATTTTTGATTTTAATTTTTTTATTTATGTTTTTATTAATTTTATTATATATATATATATATATATATATATATATATATATATATATATATATATATTAGTATTTATTATATTATGTATATTAATATTTATAAATTTAATTTTTTTCATTTTGCTACTATTAACATGTTTTATTTAACATATATATTTATAAATTTATATGTATATATATATATAATTATATATTTATTTACAATTTACTTTAACAAATCATTGTTAATTAATTATTATTAATATATTAAAATTATTTCAGATTTACCTTTTAATTTTTAGAGCAATGTTTCTTGGATCAAGTTCGAAGAGTCTGTTGACTTGTTCCAATGTCATATTCTTCACAGAAACTCCATGGACCTTGCTTACAATATCACCAACAAGAATTCCACATTCCTCTGCTTTGCTGCCTCTGTCAACCTTTACACCAAATCATTTTTCAAAAATTTTCATAATAATCATATCATGTAATAAATATAAAATACAAACATGTCATGAAATAAATATAAAATAAAACAAATATTTAATTTAATTAATTTAATTAAAATTTAAATACTTAATTTTTAATTAACTTACATAACGATTACAATTGACTACTGACACAAAAAAAGGTTTTCGTAATTTTCAAGCTTTCAAGTTTAGCTTAACACCCAAAATCTTTTTAAATAATAAAATCTTTGAATAAATTAATTTGATTTTTCGGCAAAATTTTGATAAATTTTCGTCCACGATATAAACTCTGAAAATACAAATAAATAAACAGCAACGGACCTAACAAAAAACTATTAAATAAGCACAACAAAAAACAATTATTTCTTCAAAGACAACCAATATTGTGACATCGTTCTCACAAATCCACGTTCATCACATTGAAAATGTTTCAAACTATAATCCAGTCATTGTCAAAATAGCCTCTCTATACAATCGTGCATCATACATGCATACTTACACTTACAACATAATATATGAGACAGGACAGCTTCTGTTTAGCCAACATAAATTTAAGTAATAACAATACGAACCTATACATTACATATGTGAAGAACTCGAAGACCAAGAATGACATTTGTTGTGCATACACACAATCGTACATTCATATGGTTAGCATGTGGAACCTACGGTGCAATGCAATACTGTATCTAAATCGAAATTATCACTTATTTCTAAGCAACGTTCATTAGCATGATAAACAATGTGAACAAGCATAGTGAGTGAAGGCACACGTCACGCATGCAAATTTTTACATTTACCAATTTTCTACTTTATTGTGTTTTTTCATATTCACCATTTCATGACATTTCTCCAATGTTTATAGACAACGCAGGATTGCTTTCCATCCAAAAACTTTCCCACTTGTAACTTGTTAAATACTTTCATTGTTTAGCATAAAAGTTGAAAGTTATTGCATTGTGTGCCTATGTTTACAATTTTATCTGTTATTTTTGCGATATACAGCAGCCATAGGTAACGGGGGAAAAATTAAATAACAATAAAAGCGTTGATAAACAAAGCATCTCATTACATCTTAATAGCTATGGAAATGTGATAGCGGTTCGTACTTCGTAGGTTCAACTTTACAGAAAGTGCAATGTTGATGAAATGAAATTCACTACAAAACATAAGATCAGCCAGCCAGCCACAATCATATCAAATTTTTTAAACAAACTTTGTATTTCATTCAAACAAAACCTATTTAAATATTTTTCCATTTTAACTCGTTAAGTATCAAACCAATCCGTTTCTCAAAAAAGGTGTTTTCTTAGTCCTTGTTTTCGACAAATAAGTTTGTTCGACTAATTGCTCCTATATGACCTTGCTTGTTTTTACACACTCGTCTGAGTTGCCAACATGGCTAACCATGGATTATTTTATATTTTCAAATACATGTAGCAAAGTTTGACCAGTAAAGTTCAAACAACAGATAATCTCTTCATATATTTCTTTTTCCAATTTTTATTGTATTATTGAAAAAATGACAACAGACATTTTCCTTTTGATTGACTGTAGACTGTTCAGTTGCAAATGATTCAATGAATAAATGTAGAATGAATCTTAAATTTTGTATCAATCTTTAAACACACAACAAGTTAGTGAACACAAAATGTCTTCTGATGATGAATAATTGCATTCGACATAACAACTTATGAAGTCCATGGTACACCACCATGCTGACATTCTGCTAACTAACTATAAAAGGCAGCATGCAATCACGTTGTACATTGAAACAAATATGTATGTTAGAACTGTAAATTTGAGAATTGCAACAACTCAACTACAGCAACATTTATGATTAATTCTTAAGCAAAAATCAAGATAACGCGGAGCCAGTTGAAGAGAAAAACGTTTCAACTAAAAATTAAAATCCTGAATTGTATAAAAAAAATTTAAATTTAGTCAAACTGTATCAACAAACTGAAAGTAGGACTAAATGTAAAAATGCATGGTAATCATAAAAGTAATTATTTCAGAGTTGCATCCTGACGTAAATTTAACTAGAGTGTGAAGCGTGTCTTATCGGTATGAAATAAATGGATATTTGAGTGTTTGTGCGTGCGAATGAATGATTGTGCCGCGTTTTATATCCAAATTTAAAATAATCTCACAATATTATATAAACGGTTGTTTATTTTTAAAAATGATCTAATTCTATAAACAAATTTTGCGAAATTTATTTTACGCTTTTTCGCTCTTAGTGAAATTTATTTTACGCTCTTTCGCAGAATGTGTGTGTATTAAACCTACTGCTTAAGCACTCAGGCACACACAAAAGATATCACACACACACACACACACAAACAAACACACATAAACACAAGCACACACAAATATATTTATGTATATATACATGTATGTATGTATTATGTGGTTATGTAAATACATTTAATAACATTAACTTACACACACACACTTGTTTTCACTTTGATCAGCATGACATGAAAACAAAACAGAACGTTATGAAACATCAAACGAAACGTTTACATTTTTACATTTTCATTATTATTTCCATCACAAGCGTTCTCTTCACAATCAAACACGTTACACATTACAATGTATTGATGAAAACCAATAAACACCAGACATCAAAAACTCTTGTAATATTCAAATGAAAATGTAGACGTGTAATCAGTTACATTCACACAATTAATTACATTCACACAACTAATTACATTCACACAATTAATTATATTCACACAATTATAGGTTCGAAATTAAGTTAAGTTCATGTTGGAGTAATTCGAACGTATATCAGAGAAGTATGCAATATAATGCTTTTAAACTGTTCACAATTTTTTGATACAATCCTGTCTGCTCGCGCGGGAATGCGTGTTCGCCAGTTTGCGCGTGTTTGTGCAGACATAATCTCCTCCAATGAAACTTTGGTTTTTTATTTAAAGAGCAATCAAATTAGAGTCGAACATGTGCACATTTCAGCAGTGGATGAAGCGTCCGTATAAACATCTTGCCGGGATAACCAATTGCACATTTGAACGTGCAGACACAACTACATACATCCGTATATGCATGCACACGTACATCCAAACAGACATCAATACATACATCAGTAGATACATACACACATCATCCACGGTACATCGTATGAACTCAATGATCTTCGACATTTTTATTTTGTATGCCAGTTCACAGCGGGACTTAACAAATCCAACATTTCGTCGAAACGTTTGCAAGTAATCAAACGAATGAGCTTCGTTCTTTTTATCTCCCTACTTTATAGCCAAGAATGTGGGAAACTGGTGCGAATGCGAACACACTCCGTATGAGCACTGAAGTCATTTGGTAATACAATTCATTCTCAACTCTGTATTAGGGAATTATTCGCACTACAGAATGTTTTTAAATAACTTTTTCAAAGAAAGTTTGATACTTCACCGGCTGACTCCACTGACTCCATGTTGAATTTCTGATATTGAAGAGAAGCAGAGGAAAAGTTTGTCTTATTTCAAACGATCAGCTAAATTACGTGAGAGGATTTGAGTTAATAAATTGTATCAAGTGGAGTGGGAGGCCGTTTTTGCTTCAAATGTCGGTCTGTGATCAGTCCAAGAGATTCACCTTACATTCTTCAATTGTGGCTGGCTTGCTTGTTGGGTGCAATCACAATCAGTTCATCGGTGATATAAGAAATTTATGCTTTATAATTTTTCACTTGGCCATGGTCATTTGACAGCTCTCACAGCTTAGTTATATCTACCAATATGATGTGGAAAGCTTTGAAAATGTAACAATAAATCCTTTGCTTCTGATTGGTATGAGTATGTGAAAACAATTGTGTACATTTGTGTGTGTCTGTGTGTGTGTGTGGGGGGGGGGGGGGTGTTTTGTGTGTGTGTCTCAATATCATATGCCTGTTTGAAAAAGTTGTGCTGCAATTGCGAAATGCATTAGCGGATGATGATAACAACAACACGCACATCAAGATAAGAAATTAATGATGCGTAGAAAGTATTCAAATCGTTAAAAAATCAGCTCGTTCATTTTGTAGGTAGGTAGGTAGGTAGGTAGGTAGGTAGGTAGGTAGGTAGGTAGGTAGGTAGGTAGGTAGGTAGGTAGGTAGGTAGGTAGGTAGGTAGGTAGGTAGGTAGGTAGGTAGGTAGGTAGGTAGGTAGGTAGGTAGGTAGGTAGGTAGGTAGGTAGGTAGGTAGGTAGGTAGGTAGGTAGGTAGGTAGGTAGGTAGGTAGGTAGGCATGGTATGTAAGTGTATGTATGTAAATGTATTTGTATAATGTATGAAATATCATGCATGACCTGCATGATGATACTTGTTCAAACATTTTTATTAAATCAATATTTGTTGTTTGCCCTCTACATGTCAAGGTAATTTATAAGATTTATAAATTACTAGCAGATCAATTTGAGTTTATTTAAATAGTGCAATAACTGAAGATGATGTTTGAATGTTTGCTACAAATAAACTTTGCAAGCATAATCTGCACTTTCGTTTGATCATTTTATTCCTACTTCATTTTCTTTCGAATTTTATACAATTTTTTTTAATCATTGTAAATTTGTTGGCATCTACGTTTGATCATAAAAAACAAATTGTCCAACTTTCAACATCAAAAATAATAAACTAATGAAAATAGAAATCATAGTGAAGCCTTGTTAATTGAACTGACTGCGTGGTGTCCCTCGCAAATGCTGCCTGTGCCCAAGTTAGCTATTCAATTTAAGACAAAATTATATCAAAAACTGCCTGACACAGTTCAATAAAATCAAACTTCATCAGAAACAAAATTTTACAAATTTTCTGGTTATAAATTTATTTCATTAGAGCCTGATATTTTACAAATCGGTTTTTATGAAAATCATTTTTTACAATTCAAACACAGGCACAGTAATTTTCATTTTGTGTGAGTCTGCATGAAATTTATTTTACATAATGCATATTTGGTAGCCAGGTCTCATTTTCAACAAACATAACCCAAGCATTATCGTTTTGTACGCATTTTACAGCTATGGGTTATTTATTCTCATGCAGGTCACGTTAATGGTGAAAGTAATTATATATCGAAAAGCTTTATACTGGTAAATCAAATTATTTCCATTTTTAAACAAGTTACAAAACAAATGTGTAGAAAAATACTTACGATTAAACTCAGAATGATTTTCATTCATTGTGTATATAATTTTCTTCTTCATTGTAAGAAACTTGGACCTTGTGCATTCTCCCCTCAAAAAGTTCACTTTTATCTTCCTAGCTAGTTGGTTGTCAGAATATGCTTCACAAAATAGAGATGTTACCAGAATAAAAAATTATTTCGAAGATAAACATTCAATGAATGTTGTTTCATCGGTAAACATTACGTCCTGCCTGCACTTGTTCACCTGTTTTAACTTCAACGAAAAAGTGTACACCGTGAGAAACACACATGTTTATAAAATTAAGGCGCATACAATTATACATGCATATATTTCAGACTCCACACGCACCACACAAACACACACACACACAGACACATAAACAAACACACATACTTAAACACACTCACAGTACATACACAAAAATACCCAACAAGAGAGCTGCACACGAACAACACGCTCCCTTGTCTGTTTGTTGTCTGATGAACATAACATTGCATCGCATTGACCTAATATTTGTTCATTTGTTTGTTCTTAGTTGAACACTGTCTATTTTTTTCGTTTGTACGCTTGTTTGCATGAATGCATGCACCGATCAATGTTTTTTTAAATTGCATGGAATTCTAGATGATAACATTTGTTGAAGATATCAACGACTAAAGAGCTACACACGTCTTCATTAAGTTTCTGTGCAAATATTGCAGAGAAAGTCTGCCTGCATGCAAACATTCGAAAAATAACATACTCCGTTAAGATATCTCTGCATGTGGGAGGAGTTATATTGATGGAATTTTTGTGTGTCCGTACTTGAAAGGTTTTGTAGTCAATTAAATGAACATCGTTCCGAGTTTTTATATTATTTTATGTGAAACTACTCAAGATAAACGAAAAATAGGATAGAAATAATTGTTTAATGATCGCCGTAATTGTATCACCTAATTAATGAGATTAAAACCAACTCCCCGGGAAAGAATTTCAGGCGATAAAATTCATTTTAACAGTTATCACGCACAATACTGTGTAAGATAGTAAGGATAATTATCATCTAATTGCGTATATAAACTCTTCATTCAAACGCCACACACACACACACACACACACACACACACACACACACACACACACACACACACACACACATACGCACACACTTAGTAATTATGAAGATAATGCACAAAAAATTATAATCTGCTAACCAATGTAGGTGATATCTCATTATGTGATTATGTTAATTAATTGGGTTGAGATGATTAGCGTAGAATAATGATCGAGACGATTTAATAATATTTAATTAATTAATTGAAGATGTCAACAAATTCAGGTTTCAAAAAATCTACGTACTTGAATTCCCAATGTTATTTTTATAAAATGAAATGATGAAATACTCACAAAAACATATCAAAACAACAAAAAGCAATAATTATTTGTCTCAAATTTTTTTTTTATTATAAATTAATCCTCGCTGAATCTAATAAAAAAATTTAAATTTCTGTCGTTATTAATATGTTAAAAAGAAAATGACGTTAGCTACGTGAAGATATGAACTAACCCTAGAGATAAAAATTGGTTCCTTATGGTCCCCCTTGCCGCCTTTTTGAATCTGGAAGCCCATGTCAGGGTTGGCATCGTCTCTGGTCAACACCAGTAATACGTCCATGTACGTCGTCTTCTTCAACTTCATCGCATGTGGTGACGACGACGACGACGATAATGATATTGTTGGTTTATACAAACAACTTTAAATTTTAACAATTTAAAAAATTAATTTAGTAGTTTTTTTAATCATATTTAATAATATCCACATTTTCTAAGAGTTAATTTATCGCATTTCACATTCCACCCCTAAAACTCTAACAATTAAAAAACAGCAGCAAATTATATAATAATGGTTAAGCCATAAAACGACGCTAATTAATTAATTACAGTCATTGAAATTAATTAGTCAGATACTTATACGGGTAACGTTGCAGTCTGATTACTTTAGCAAAAAAGTTTTAACGATGTTCATCATCATCATCTTCGTCATCATCATCCCTATCATCATCATCATCACATCACCTCACACACAACACAACTCGTCTGTACTGGGAAGATTACACGAATGCCTACATATACATACATACATGCATACATATAAACATACAATTGTATGTTTTATAAACTCTGCATCAACATTATACTGTATTATTTCATCATTCATATAGTTTGCAGACTATGCCACAATGTTAATATTTATTCATATATATATATATATATATATATATATACTATACATATCTATATATATCTACATATATATATATATGTTGGTAATAGACCATAATTTTTACAATATTCTATAAATTCTACCGAATGTTTGGCGTTAATATGTTTGTAGTTCGTTGAATTTTAATAAACTAAACGTTCACCAAAAAACTTTAGTGAGGAAAATTGAAAAAACGAACTACAAACATATTAACAGATCCAGCGGAAAGGAGGGAGAGAGTGATGAGCCCACTGGTGACGTACCCGCTAATTCGACTATTGCCTCCACGGTCCATAATGGCGGGAGTGTTCATAATTGTGTATGTGGGGAAAAGTTAGGAAATTGTGAGCAACATTGTAGTGGTGATGTCAGAGATGATGCTGATGATGACGACGACGACGATGATGATAATGATGATGATATGATGCTGATGACGACGAAGATGATAGTAGTGGTGACGATGATGATTTAATGTTAAAGATAATTTTGTTAATGGTTAGCATCATCACTTATCATCGTTATCGCGTTTCATCAAAATCTCTCCTCTCTGATATAATCACATACCACTAACAACACATATAGTGTAAATACCCGTGTATTTAATATGTGCAGATAACCGGTGTGTCTGTGTGAGTTTGAATGCGTGTTTGTGTGCTTTTGTGTGTGTGTTAAATAACGTAATCATATTTCTTCATACGTCTGTCTATGTCTGTATGTATTCGTGTGGGCGTGCATCCCTACTCGTGCTCATGACCAAGTGTGCACTAACAAATATTTTTTCTTCTGTTTGTCTCCCCATGCGAATGCTTGTTCTTGCAAAGTTGTGTCATGTGAAGTAGTCAGCATGTAGTTTTGTACCTCTGTGGTGAATCTTCGGGAAGGTTTTTTTTATTTCAACATTCGAAATACTATGCGTGCATTTATACGCACCAAACAAAGACGCACATGA